ATGCATTGGTGGCACTCTGGAGCACGATACCATACTCCTGATAGCTCATTTGTTGAAAGAGCAAGAACAACTGCTCTCTGAGGTCCAGGGCAGGTTGTGAATGTGTTGGAGACAGCTGACATATCCCTATTGTAAGCAAACCGTGAGGTCTACATTCAGAAGTAGCATCCTTCTCACAATGGAGCACAGAGAAGAGAATTTAATCTAGTGGAGCCGACATCTATGTATCCACACACAAAAATACACCCCAATGCATTGCCTTGGAAATATGACTTCTTCCAAGAGAAAAACCAAAATGTTCTCTATGTCAAAATAAAATCCAGACTTCCACAGCCTGCAACTGCTATTGAGAAAGATGCTGTCATTATTATTTTAATCACCATCATATCTATACTTTCATTAAATTAAATGTAGCTATTCATTCTTTTTTAAAAAACAAACAAACAAAAAGCAGCACCGAAGTTCCGGTTATTGCAGACTATTTATGTGAAGTAAACATTTCTCATGCCACACACGCAAAAAAGTTACACAACAGTCATATACTGAAAATAAGGGAGCTGACTGCAAGAAGGGTTGTCTGTGTCAACATGTCTCTTGGACACAGAGTACAGGGATATTTTTTTTCATCTTCTACTGGAGAACTGCCAAATAGCCATAATCCACGATAAAGAAGGAAAGCTGGCATTGATAAAAACTGTTTCCTGACCAAACTGCCGAGATAATCATGGATTTAAATGTCATTTGGAAGCATCCATCTTCCCAGTAAATGTAATTATCACATCCAACTAGTGCAGATTGGTACCATTATTAAGGTCAAGAAAAATGTAATTCAGCATGCTGTAGCACAGTCTTATATCAGCACCACGGCACTTTATTCCACCCATAAAACAGCAACTGGGCATGGCTTTTAGTGCTTCACATGTAATACTTCACATTTTACTCATCCAGGGGAGCTTTTCTGCAATTTACACTATACAAATGAAACTGAAAGAAAAGCAAGTGGTTTGTACTTTATGGAAAGATTGTGGAGGACAGACAAAGCCTCAAAGACTTTCTGATCAGGCTGTCGTTAAGTAACTGGAAGGAGATGTCCTTCTGTTTTCTGCGTTCTGTATTTTTAAATGTAGGGTTGTCTCCCTTTCTGTTGCAGAGGCTTCTGGGAATCACTTGCCATTTAGTGCTTCAGTTCTGCTGTGGAGTGATTAATATTTTCGCTCATGACTTTGGGCTAGGTTTTCATGTACACTGCACTATGCCGCTGTGGTCAAGGGGCTTTAAAATGAAGGCACACACTACAGTCATATCTTCTTTGGGGCCTCTTTACACACCAGAACTCTCTTAACTGGCTGGGCATTGTTGAAAAAACATGAGCACAGAGGTCCTGCTCCGGTTCCAATGGGGCCTCTTTTGCTCTGAACCTTGTGTGGGTGTAAAACACTCGCAAATGGTAGCATTTGACTTCTACTTGGCACTCATTTTGCACTGATAACAATGACTAAATAAAGGGCAGGGCAGGGCAGTGGTGAATCAGGCCCACTGAATGCAATAGAAGTGTTGCCATTGTCGCCAATGCTAGCTACACAGGCCCTCTGCAATCTTAATTGGGCCATGGCTGTTGGGCACATACTAAAACATGTAGTTGAATAGAAACTGCTGATTTTTCTTCCATGAGAAAGTCAAGCCCACTGGAGTGAAACAGGATTTTGCAAGCTCACAGAATGCTCATGCATTCTTTAAAAAGATGCACTGCTGAAACCTGCCACACCTGTTTTAAAATTTTTCCATCTTGCTAGTAGCTGTGAACAAAGTTCACATTGATTGTAGATACAGTTGGAAAAAAAACTTCCCCACCCTATTACTTGCTGTTCCATGTCAATGATAAAGGAGTCTTGCAGTCTGTGTGGCGAAATTTAATTCATAGACTTGCTTCAAGACTGGTTCTTTATCTAGTCTGAAAAAGTCAATAATGGCTAAATTGATTTTTTTTTATAATTCTCCCAGCTCTGGAAAAGACATTGCACACACGAGGCTCAGTACAAACTGATTGTGTGAAATTTGGAAAAACACATCCATGAGCCTTATTGATTTGCAGCTTCTTATTGTGGTTGACATTTTAACTTGATGGCATTTTTCCTCTGCTGCAACTACCTATTGTTTCCTGGTAAGAAGAGAACTGGTATAGAACTCCTGTACTGCATAAACAGAAAATGATTTATTCCAGCAAGCAACTGCAAGTGTTCAAAAGGCAGAAATCCATCAGGTGCAAACTAGCTGATAGGGATGTACGTGACTGCACTCTGGACCCTTGGAAAATATCAGG